TTCTTCCCCACCCCCTCATTTTGGGCACTCGAGCCGAAAAAGGTTTGCCTCCAGTGGTCTAGGGAAAAAAAGGCTACAGTAGTTGTTTATTTTGGGGTCAAAAGAGGGCACTTGGTTAAATTAAAAGAGAGTTGTACTCATGTATATTTTCTTGAAAGGATGTTTTGTCGAATTCCTAAGTAAGGATCAAATGAGACCAGTTGCCCATCTTTCATTTCAGAACTGATAGCTTATTTCTCCCACAATGTGACTTTCTCTGACCCTATATCTTGCAAATGTTAGCCTACTCTAGCATTTGCTTTCACCCCATCCTGTATCTTTCAAGATATAGTGGGGTGAAAATGAATGCTAGGGCAGGCTGACATCTTTCCACACCCAATGGAACAATGATGACTGCTAAAAGTATTATCTAATTTCATCCTGAGTGTGTGTAAAATCAAAGTGTAGATGTATTCATAATGAGTGGAGACAGCCTAGATAAATTTGGTCGCAGCTGCAATTCCATGTCCCCTTACAGTTGAAAGCAATTGGTTAAAGCAAATCAACTCCACAGCTTTTTGTGCAACTTAGTTGTGATAAATGTTGTTTTTATACATTATATCTCCATTTCTGATGGGAAAATAGCTGGGTTGGAGGTGATTCTGGATGAAAAATTATTCCACTAGGAAATAATTAATTTCCAGTGTGGTGTAGAGCAGGGGTCCCTAACCTCTGGTCTGCGGTCCGGTGCCAGTCCGTGGGCTTCGGAGACAGATCTCCCGACCCTCCCTCGGACACATGAATGGCAGCTGTGGCGTGCTTGCATGCATGCGCAGGTGAGCCATGCCCATCCACGAATGTGCCATGCCTACCCATGAACGTGCCGCGCCCACTCACCAGCATGGGGGGTGCTCCCAATGCACAGACAACACCCCCTCCAAAAGGTCTGCGGTTCCAAAAAAGGTTGGGGACCACTGGTGTAGTGGATAGAAAGATTACTTGTGTCTTAGGAGACCTGAGTTCGGATCTCTGCTTGGCCATGGAAGAAGCTACAGTGGGTGTGCATATGTGGAACTGGTAAAACCCTATTCTTAAATATCATCATCTACCTTGGAAGATAACCCCTGGGACTATAAAAAAAAATCCCCACCCCGACAGCCTTCTGATGCTGCATGGCATAGTAAGAGGGGGAAGGGGATTAAAGCCACCCTCTGTCTCCGCTGCCTTTGTGAAGGCATTGGGGCTGGGCGGTGGGTTCTGTTGGGCTTTCCCCCTTTTTCTATGCCCGGCGGCAGCATAGTAAGGGATCCCCCACCTCCGGATTGCTTTGATCCCTTTCTCCCTCTTCCTATGCCACTGGGGTTAGAAAGAGGGGGAAAGCTCAATTCAAGCCATCTCCTTGCCCTGAGGATAGGTTTTCCTTCTGGCAGGCTCTAGCTGCTGAAGGGAAAATCCCTCTCCGCTTACGCCTCTGAGGAACAGCTGATCCGCGGGGGCATAAAGAGATAGGGAATGAAGGGACGAATATAAAAGGATTATATACATTGCTTTGTATTCGTTGGGGTCTCTGGACTCCAAGAATACGAAGCAATAAATATCTGACGAATCAGAGATATTGATTGAATATCCTGATTCATTTTTGTATTCGTCCCCATGTCTAATTAGGACCACTATGTCGGTTTGAATGTGAGGGCTATAGCACAAGGAAACAGTTAAACAAGCTTGCAGATTATGCCTCCTTCTTTCCCAACTGTAGCTCCTCAATGAATTTTAGTTTGATAAAAAAAAATGTTGGATTTTTTCCCCCTGTCGTCTATGTACTGTATAATACCAAGACTGGCTTTTCGCCTTTAGCTGTGCTCACCGTGAACTCCACCATTTGTATCTTTTCAAAACCTATGACAAAAGTCTGTAGTATTTGTGTTGAGTTTTGCAAGTACAAACCTGAGGGGTGTTTTTCCCCCTCAAAAGGACTCTCCTGTGTAACAGACAAATTAAAGGTTCCTAGGGAACATCCCAAAATCCAACACTGTCCTTTTCACTCAAACTTGTGTTAAACTTTTGTACTGATAACATTTTTTTACTCGCTGTAATAAATCTCCATATTTTTTTAAAAAAATCTATTAAGATACAGATTGAACTGCACGCAAACATTGTTACAGTAATAGAAATAAACATGCAAGAAAGTGCATTTTGATAATTTTCAGGGTTGAATCCCTTCTGGGACCAAAATAGTTTGGTCAAAGTAAGGCACATGCTTTACACAGAAGGGGTTAAGACCTTGCAGTCTTGAGATGTTACTGGACTACTAGTCCCATCAGCCCCAACCAGCACAGTCAATGATGAAGGATGCTGGAAGTTGCAGTACAACAGCATCTCGCAGCCACACATTTTCCCACCCCCAATACTGTATATAGTTACAGTACCTTTCTTTAATGTGTGGCATGCATTTGTGGCTGTTTATATTGAGAGACACGCTTATAAAATATTTTTTTGCACTATTGCTTTTTGTACTTAATGTATTTTAGTCTTTTGGAAAAATGATTCAAACACTTATTTAAAAGAAAGAAAGGCATACCGTTCTGTTCAGAATTGTCCTGCATACCTTTTTGTCCAGATACATTACTTTTCCTCTTCCCGCGTTGTAGACATACTATTTTTGCTTTTTTGCTTTTAGAGCAGAATGACAACAGTAGTGACGCCATGAAACAAGAGATGCTGATATTACAGGAAATGCTCAATACGCTAGACTACAGGAGGAAGGTTAGTTAAATGTACTTTTTTGCTCTTGGAAATTTAAGCCATTGGTTTATAAAGAAATAGGTATTCATGGGTATTCATGCTGAAGGAGTAGGAGATGGAACTAAGGGAACTATATTTTCTTACATTTTCTTTTAAGTTTTGTTTTTTTTTAAGAAAACATAGGGCCAAAAACAAACAAACAAAAACTTCACCCCCACGACGCCTCCTGACTCCATAGTGATGTGTATCTTGATTGCTCTAGGAAGTCCTGAGTAAAATGGCACAAATAATAATGGAAGCTGAAGCCTTGGTGAATAACATGCTAACAGAAGAGTTGCTGGACTGGAAGAGGCGGCAGCAGATTGCCTGTATTGGTGGACCGCTGCACGGTGGACTTGATCAGCTACAAAACTGGTAAACCATTCACCCTGCTTTCTGCCTAAAGAACCACGGAAGGTAGGACAGGTGATGCTGTGGTGGCTGTGGTCCCCCCAGTCCAGAACACATGACCAAAAGTCTCATCCGAGCAGCTGGGGATATTGTTTTTCAGCTTCTAGGGTGTATATACTGTAATGCAGTCTGTTTGACTGGGACTGTTCCTCTTTTACTACAAAGAATAGTTCAGCCCTTGCCATCGGTTGCATTGCAATGAATGCCTTCTGGTACTCACAGCAATGCAGTTTGCTCCTTTCAGGCTCTTTTTCAGTGCAAGACGTACAGAGACTATTTCTCTGACAGGAGAAACATGCAGCAAGAAGAGCCTACAAGAAATCTTTAACTATCTTAATCATAAAGGCCTTTCGAATGTAGAATTTCCTCTGGTATTTCCTCTGAAATTCCTCTTGATTAGATAGCAAAGCTATTTTTGGCATAATAATAATTATGCTGTTATTTTCCTAATAATATATACAGTATGTATATCATCCACCTTTTTGTTCTGTTTCCATATATCTGATGAAGTGCATGTGTCCATGAAAGTTTACATTAAAATATAATAGTAAAATATAATATAAAAGTGCCACATGCTTTTGAACATCTACACCGCAGGCCAAGTAACATAGTAACCCCTTTTATTGTTGTTGTTGCAGCTGCTGCTACTGTTGTTTTGTTTTGTTGGGTTTTTTTCCCCCTGATATGTATATTCGTGCTGCTGCTGCTGCTGCTGCTACTGTTGTTTTGTTTTGTTGCGGTTTTTTCCCCCTGATATGTATATTCGCGTATATCCGGTATGTCCTTATCTCTTGTTCACTTTTTACACTTTCACCACCATCATCATTATTTTGCTGTGGGAAGCATTTTAGAAAGGTACTTGAAAGTCTCTATCCTGATCTCTGAGACAACAACAATGAACCATAATCTTCATGCTACCTTCTCTGTTGTTAAATACCATCAACAGCACCTCTGATTTATGGCAACCCTAGGAAGGAGTGACTTCCAAAATGTCCTGTCCTTAACAGCTCCTGCTCAGCTCCTGCAAAGCCAACCCCCTTCATCAGGCCTTTAAAATAAAATTCGCTCCCCCTCCCCTTTGTCAAATGTTCTGATGGCCATGAGACTGTTTGAGAAGCCATTAGCGGGGGTTTATACCGACTTTACTTGCTCTCTAAATTGCATCTGCCATGAAGTACAGCAGTAAGGCAGATTCCATCTCTGCTGATCGTTTCTGCACATTTTGTATTGTCAGATATTTCTGCATTATGTTGCAGGTGGATGCTTTGCACCTGTCTGTCTGTCTAAAGATGAGCAAATCACCTTTCCTTTTCCTTTTTCTGGTATCCGTTTTAGCTTCACGCTGTTGGCCGAGAGTCTGTTTCAAATAAGAAGGCAATTGGAGAAGTTGGACGAGCTGTTGTTCAAGCTCACCTACGAAGGAGATCCCATTTCACTGCAACGACCTCACTTGCTGGAACGAGTAAACCTTTTGCTCTACAGCCTTTTCCAAAGGTACCTAAAGCCCTGCCCTTGCTTTTAAGTGTCATTTGAGGGGAAGCTCCCTTTCCCGTTCAGGAGACTTGGTGACTGAAGTGCCTGAAAAATCATCACATTGAAGGGGCAAAATATAATTGTACGATCCCAATGGTGAAGACATTGGTCTCTGAGATTAAAGAAGACTCTTTATTTTGCAATAAGTTTGGTATTAATAATGTTATTTACTTCCTTTCCTATTAGTTCGTTTATAGTTGAGAGACAGCCATGCATGCCAACACATCCTCAAAGGCCCTTGGTTCTTAAAACATTAATACAATTCACTGCTAAACTTAGGTGAGTAAAGGATCTCACTTACAGGATACAAATGACGTGACTTCTTTGTTTATGCTGCTAATGAAATTATTTATTAACTGTTTTGCTATATTCATGCTTTATTTACTTGTGTTCTTGTTGCTTGCTGTGTTACTTTTATGTTGCACTTGATGCTTTATTTACTTGTAACAAAGCTACCCCCTTTTTTCCTTTAAGAAGGGATTGTTAATGTTATGCTTTGTTTTACTGTGAACTGCTTTGGATGTATTGTTGACGGAAACGTGGTATACAAGCAAACTGATTCATTTTATTGGGTTACTTGATTTGGTGAGCCTCTTAAGCCTGTGCCAGTCTCCTAGTATTTTTCACTTGGAAAAGATATGTTTTTGAATGAAAGCCCATGCTGGTTCGGGGATTTTCATGGCTATAATTAAAAAAAAAAAAACCAAACTTTTCTGAACTCTGAGAATAATAACATAATTCTTGCTTTCTTACCAGTTTGTATTTTCTCCTCGGTATTGTTAATTTCTTATTTTTTTTCTTACCGCTAGAATGTATCTGCAAGTCTCACACATTTGCTACCATGGTCTCCAGTCATGTAAAGATCTGGTTAATATTTTATAGATAGTGCCTAATGTCCCTGCTTTTGAATATTATAGGAGAGCTAGTTTGCCTAGACATTTTCCCATAGTGGGTATTATTTGCTATGAATGGTAGGTATACAGTAGGTTTTTCTACAATAAACTTGTGCACTTTTTATTTCCTAGGCTGCTCATTAAGTTGCCAGAGCTGAATTATCAGATCAGAGTAAAAGCTACCATTGACAAGTAAGCAACTTGTAAATATTTTAACACTTCTTGTTATCTATTATGTGCTGTCATGCTGAAACTGATTTACAAGACTCTACTAGGGCTTTCAAGGTAACTGAGATATTTAAAGAATGGTTTTATCAATTCCAGTACCACCACCGCCATGAATTTCTCTTGCCAAGTAGGGATTTGAATCCAGGTCAGTCCTAATCCATCACGCTGTCCAGTACACCAAAAGGGGTATCTTACTTTTTAAAGTTCCCAAAACTCTTCCTCCAACACTGCTTCTGGATGACATATTCTACAAGAAGTGCTTCTGATGTGGGCCATTTTGGATTGCTGTTGGCCTTGAATTCTCATCAAAGGAAATACTACTAACTGCTCACCATCATGGAGGGAGACAGAGAAGGACATTCTGTTCTCCTCAAGAAAAAAAAGTTGCCTAGGCCCACACCTCATTGCTCTGTCTCCTCTCTCTTCACCTGCTTACTAGAGATGGGCACAGATTGATTTGGCACAAAGCTGCAAAATTTGTCAGCATGGCATCATAGGGGCTGCGGGTTTCCTCTCCCCATCCCTGACTGGCTGGCCCACTCACTGGCCGGATCCTCCTCCAGGGTTGGACAGAGCAGAGACTTCCCTTCCCTGCCTCCTGTGGTAGCCAGCCAGTGTTTGGCTACACAGGCAGACTCCCCATCCTGCCTCCTTGTCTGAATGGCCAGCTGCTGGAGGAGGCAGGGAAGACATACATGCCTGGGCTCCTGCCCATAGTGGGCAGCTGGCCCTGGAGGAGGACCCGGCTGGCGTGTGGTGACTGGTGAGTGAGCCAGCCAGTCAGGGGGTGGGGAAATGAAACACACGGCACCTGTGGTGCTGTGCCAGTGAATTTTGCAGCTTTGGGAAGAACTGATTTGTCCCCATCTCTGCTCCTTACAATTCCCAAAACTTGAGTTCATAGGGATGGTAATATGTTAAAAGAAAATTCCCAGAGGCTCACGTCAGCTTTCCCCACTCATCCATTTTCTGCATCTAAGCCCCCCATGTCAACCTGTGGTCACAATATGGTACAATATATTGGTCTTTGCATTTTGCCAACTGAGGTTCAGGAAAGGGGCATAATTTGACCTATGTCTGAATGTGACTATACAGTGAGGAAAATGTGAATTCACTTACATTCTCTTGCTGTGAGGTTAAACCAGGAAATTTGGGTTTTCCTGGGTTTCTTGGCGTTAACTGGCCACACAGGTGCAGAGGAGGAGGGCCTTAGCTTTTTGCAGCTCAGTTTATAGCCCTTGCAGATGGTGTCATTACAAATAAACCTAATAAGTTTTAAACAGAATTTTCCTTCCTCCATTTCCTCATCTTGTTCTTTTTTTGTAAAAAAAAAACTTGCCGATGGAGAGAAGCTTTGCTTCTCCTTGTCAAAAGAGAGAGAGGAAAAGCTGTAAGTGAATATTGGCTGGAGGGACTTTTCTGCATTGGTTCTAGCAATCACATGTCTGATTCAATGCAAATGGATCATTTTTTTAAAAAAAAAGTGGTAGCCCCAGCAGTGAAGGCAAAAACTATGGATTTGAGGAGGAAAACTCTAGGCTGATTCTCATTTCCCTTTGCATCATGTGATCAGTGGGAAAAGATATACAAACCAGCCTGCCTCAATACCGTAACATTTACATATTTTTACCCAGTGTAGGTGTGCATTGTGTCAACGTCTTTCTGTTAATTTTGCTGTTGTTTGAAAGAGTCAAATAAATTGCAATGTCAGATGTTATGTTTCAGAATCAGGGAGAAGCTTTCCTATCCAGATATGGAATTTAAATTATTTTGCAAAGTGTTTTTGATATTTAGCCTAATTTTTTAGTTAGTACAGGAAAGATTACAAATACTGGCAAAAATCAGAGAAAAGAAACGAAGCAATTCCGTTACAGAGGGGATGCACAAATGTAGGTGGCTGAATCATCAGTTCCACTGCAGTTTAAAACTTGCCACTTCTCTGTGTTGACATAATTTCTCTACAAAACACTGGGCAATTTTGCTTGTGGTTGTCTGACTTTTTATTGTGTGAACTTGAAACTCACGGAAGTTTTTTGTTGGCTTCTCAAGCTAAAACTAGACAGTGTCCTTAAACTTCCATCACTCGCCCAAGACAGAGTTTGCACAGAATGGTGTTGTTAACTTTTGTTGGAGTTATAAAAAAATTAATGAAACATGAAGGTCAAAGATACAGTGAAGAAAGAAGAGAAATGGTTCAACAGAGTCTCCGTTTCTTATTCAAAGTGATACTAGAAGACCACATTATACCGAGAGCTAATTCAGAGGTTAATCATAAAAAAGCAACCTATAAAGAAATACTGTACTGTCAATACATCTAATCCACTTGGTGAAACTTAAAGCAATAGTAGTGATCCAAAGCAGGAAATTTTGCTAGTTAATGATGGCCAGAATCCAACTGTTGATTTGCCTCTTGGTAAGTGAAATGTGTAAGACATGGTAGCAGATTGCCGGTAATTAACAAGATGTGGTTGTGTTCTTAGGTGTACCCCTGATTGAGCACACACATAGAAATGCAACCAGCACCTAGTAAATTAGTGGCAATTTGGTGTCAAGTCTTATGCTGTTTCCTTTATAAAAGCATAAATCAGCATGTTGGTCAATATTGAATGCATCAAATAGATAATGCCTGAATACCAATGGTGTTGATTTTCCTTTAGATTTTGGTTTACAGGCATATGGTGAACAGATTCTGGAACTTGAAGGACTATTGTTTGTTTATTTTAAAATGTTTGATTTAATTATGCATTTTGTGTGTATGAAGAGTTCAACAATAAACTCTCTCTCTCTCTCTCTCTGGTTGTTTTAATCTAGAAATGCTTCTGCTATAAGGTAAGAACACTTAAAATGATGCTGTAATCTTGATAAGGGATACCTATTGCTCCATATTATTTTGCCTGGCACTGTGTATCATTATTGGGATGTGTCTTCTAGCAATCGTAGGTTTGTACTTTGTGGCACTCATGTGAAGGCAATGAACATGGACGAATCGACAAATGGAAGTCTGTCTGTTGAATTTCGACATCTAGTAAGTCAGTACTTCGCTAATTTCATTACAAGAGTCGGGGAAAGAACTGTTGGCTTCTTGCACTCAAGCAGACAGCAGTGCCCTCCATTTTGCCCTGGTAAACCTCTTTGGATTTGGCCTCCTTTAATTCACTACATCTGTATGTAGCTCATGAAAAAAAGCAACAGGAACAGCTCAGACTTGGGAGAGGTGAGTGCCTCTGACTCAGTTAGCAAGCTGTTTATGGCTGCATCACCATCACTACCACTTCAATCCTGAATGTCTCAAGGAAAAAACGCCCCATCCAGACCAGTTAGGGGGAAACAGCCCCTTGACCTTAGTGTGTTTGTGCATCTAACTCCCATGCAAATTGTTCTTCTCATTCAGTTTTTAAAAGATGCAGATTGCCTCAGCTGCACAGCATGTCTGAAGAGGAAACTTAACTCTTTCCACCCATATTATATATATATATATGAGACATGCAATCTTATAGTTCCCAATTGAGGGGGGGACCCATATTATATACTCCAGGGGGAAATCCCTCTTCTTAAACGGGATGCGTAGGCAAGGGGAATTTGCCTCAAGTCTGCAAAATAAATGTTTCGGTTTTCTTTAAATGCCTGCTCTGATCCCATTAATGGCCTGCCCTTCTCCCGCCGACGCAATTTGTATCTTAAAAACACTGGCTACAAAAAACCCTTCCAAGTCAAATGCAATTTGGGCCCTCCTTACTCACTGAGAAGCCACTTTGGAATTCTGCCTGCTCCACCTTGTGTCCCCTTTCATCTCTCAGGAATTCCCTCAGGAGTCCTTCCCTTGCTGTCAACTGTGGTCAGTCAACTTTCCCTGCCCAAAGACCATGTTTTAGTCCTGTTGGTCAGTTTTCTACCTCTGGTTTATGCCTTTTTCTAATTACTTGTTTGTCTTTTTACAAACCATGGAGTTTCTCCAAATCTGATTATATTTTACTGCTAATGTATTGATTTTTTTGGCCACCAGAGGGCCCATATGAATGCTACTTTCATAATCAAATGGAAAAAGGAGAATTACTAAATGTTTCTGTGAATAAATCTCTCTTTTTTTGTAAACGTTGGTCTCCATTTTTAATTTCTGCAGCAGCCAAAAGAAATGAAAGCATGTGCTGGAAGCAAGGGCAATGAGGTAGGTGTAAATACAGTGGTGCCTCGCTTAACGGGTGCCCCGTTTAACAACGAAACTGCATAGCGATGAAGATTTTGCGATCGCAAAAGTGATCGCATTGAGATGTTCCCTATGGGGAAAAATCGCTTTGCGATGATCGGTTCGCTGTTTCGCTTACCAATTATCGCATAGCGATGATTTTCGAACAGCTGATCAGTGGTTCCAGAATGGCCGCAGAGTTTAAAAAATGGCTGCCCACTGTGTTTAGGGATGGATTCCTCGCTTACAGCTAGCGAAAATGGCCGCCGTATGGAGGCTTTTCGCTTTAAGGTGAGTTTTAAGCCCATAGGAACACATTGAAGGGATTTCAATTCATTCCTATGGGCTTTTTAAAATCGCATAGCGACGAAATCGCTTTGCAGCGATTTTTGCTGCACGGATTATCGTCGCTATGCAAGGCACCACTGTAATTGTCCATATTATATTTCTAGCATGATATGCGGGACTTTAATACATTGCTTGAAAATAACAAATCCATGCATAGACTTTAGATTTTAAGTTTATAATGGGTTTACTATATCCAAGGATATGTTACACTAAAGGGTTGAACACCTTACGGTAAGAGATAATTGTGAAAGGGAGATATGATGGCCAAACTGTTTGTGTTTCCCAAGACTGTGATAGGAAACAAAAGGTATTTATCGCAAGATAAATGTATTTACTATAAAGGCAAATACTTAACGTTGTTCAAATGTTTGATGCATGATTGAAATGAGCAACAGGAGCCAAAAAAAATAGCACAAGTATGCAAACTAGCACAAGGATATAATCAGTACAACACCAGTTCTGCTCATTCTTCCCTGCTTTTCATTAATATTTAGTAGAATGCTGGTCTTGAGGCTCCCCCTACTGAATAAATGTTGTTTTGTTACTTCAGACACACTGTATGGCAATATACACATTATATATATTTATTATATATATAGAAACACACAATCTGCAATATATAACACAGATGCACCTGTGCTTGACATTAATATGAGAAGTGAGTGGCTCATAGATGGCAGTGGGGAGGGCCGTGGGAGAACCTGCAAAAGTTCCCTCTCCTGAACCGTTGTTAGCAGTGCAGAAATCTCATGTTTGAATCAGTCTGGCATTCTATTACTGAAGCTCCATGTGTGGCTGGTTCCCAGCTCATCCATCCATAAAGCACCAGCTGAAAAGTAAGATGCTGTAGTTCTTACCTGACTTCAGCCAAACCTACAGACACCTCGGTTTGGGGATCTCTGTGAAGCTGTGCCTTCAAAAAATAGCCACAATTGCTTATCGGAGAGGTTTTTTGTGCATTTTACACTCAGACAAGCCTTTGAGTCATAAGTTGACAGAAAGGGTGCCAGCTTCTGCCTCCCTAGAGATGAGATTCATTCATGCTTAGCAGGGGGCTTCAACTCGTCGTTCCTGTGGAATCATTCATAAGATTTCATGACCAAACTTTCAGAAGAGGAATGAGTTATTTCTGTTGGGATATACCACCAGAGAAGAAAAGAGAAGATGCATCCCGATATCAAAAGCAGCCTAACAACAATAATGGATCGAAAACATGGAAACTAATGGACATGTATCATCCGAAAAGTGATGTGGACAGATTATATTTGCCACAAAAAACTGGAGGCCGTGGATTACTGAAAATACAGCAGGTAGTAGAGGAGGAAAAAAAAGAAGCCTAAATGATTATATCAGTACAAACAGAACTAATCACTGAAGGTGAAAATATTCTGAAAAGAAGAAAAATATAGGCTCAATATAAAAAGGAATGAATTGAAAAGAAATTAAGCAGCTGGAAAAATTAACCACTACTTGGACAAAACCTGAGAAGTATTGATGGAAGGCATGACAATAATTCAACGCAGACATGGCTAAAAGTGGGGACCATTAAAAAATAAACCAAAGGCTTGATTTTTGTTGCATAAGAAAAAGCATTCTAAGCCAATGTGATGAAAGCTAAGATTCAGCGAATTAGTGCAAACAGCAAATGTCAGTTTTGCCCAGAAGAAAGACGAAATTGTGTTGCACATCATTTGTGCATGTCCAAAGATTTCACAGACAGATTACAAAATTAGACATGACCAAGTGGCAAAATTAGTGCACTGTTCATTAGGCAAAAATATATCTTGCCAGCCTCCAAAAACCCATGGCAACATCAGGTAGAGAAGGTGTCAGAAAATGAGGAAGTCAAGATCTTGTGGGATTTCTGGATCCAGACTGATAGATACTTTGAACATAACATACCAGACATAGTCGTAATAGAACAAAGAACTGTCTGGATCATTGATACTGCAATTCCAGAGAATGAAAATAAAGAATTGGAAAAATTTAAAAAATATAGTGACTTGGCAGTTGAAATATTTAGCTTGTGGATGAAACATCCCTCAGTGTTCCCTATTGTCATCAGGGCTTTGGGAACAATATCAAGAAATTTCATACAGTATTATAAGCAGTTGCAGATTCCAGAAATACAGTGGTGCCTCGCTTAACGAGCGCACCGTACAACGATGAAATCGCATAGCGATCCCTTTTTTGGGATCGCTAATGCGATCGCTCAACGTTTTTTTAATAGGGCAAAATTCGCTTTGCGAAGACCGGTAAGCGTTTCGCTTACCGATCTTCGCAAAGCGAAGCCCGACGATCAGCTGTTCGGCGGCCAAAATGGCCGCCGGAAGCCCAGAAATGGCCCAAAATGGCCGCGCGCAGCATTTTCGCGCCCTCGTTAAGCGAGGGGAGGGCACGAAAATGGCTGCCGGCCATTAAGAAGCATCGCTGAACGGTGAGTATTCGGCCCATTTGGAACGCATTAAACCATGTTTAATGCGTTCCAATGGAATTCCCTGCCCCGTTCAACGATGCTTCAGCATAGCGAAGGTTAATCCGGAACGGATTAACCTCGCTATGCGAGGCACAACTGTAACATTATCAGAGCTACAAAAATGGCAATATTAGGAACAGCATATACTACTGCATTGATATTTAACAGATACTTTGTGTGTTTTTTGTTAAAATTTGTATCTATATGTTACATATTATTTTTACAATTCTTATTGACTGTGCCTGGTATTTTTTAACAACATTGTTCAGTGTGAGAAAGAAGGATTAAACAAAACATCAAACAATTTTTCATTTTTATTTAAATTACAATAATGGGCTTTTGTTTTTAACTTGAGATAAATGTGGTCTGTTAATCTTGTTTGGGTTGGCAGCCAGCCCTTTCGTGTTCAAAGTCCTGTGCATGGGCCAGATAGTAAATCCTGTTTTTGGCTTTCTTCAGGGCCCCCACATGGTCACTGAAGAATTACACTGCATCACTTTTGAAACACAGGTCTGTTTATATGGCCTGACTATAGACATGGAGGTAAGTATTTATTTTTGAGAGGTCAAACAAAGGGAAGAACTTTAATAAGGAACAATACTAGTTGTTAATTAGCAGATTCTCAGCAATGATTTCTTAAATAAATTGATGAAATGACCGCTAGTGTGTATAACAGTGTATGGTAACAAAACCACCTTTCTAGGGTAGAGAACTAAAGGACCATTGTTTAAATGTAGTCAACAATATATAAAATGGTCTTTTACTTCTTTAACCCATATATATGGGTCAAATATTTCAGTATTAATTTTTGCCACCTTCATTTGTGGCCAATTTAGAGCTGACATTTTCTGTATGTTATTCCACATCTTTTAGTCTTACACTTTCGTGTAACACAGAAAGCTCAGGTGTCTGCCTAACTCTTTTTTAATTTGCCCTTCAGTAGTAAAGACTAGACTCCCAGAAATGTTATAGAACAGATGTGGTTTCCTTGATTTTAACCTGCTTTCTCTTAGAGCTTTGTAAAATATATTATGTTATTAGTGCGTGTTAGGTGTTTTTTAAATTGTTGCTTTATTATTGCGCTGTAATTTATTGTATGGAATTTTATGATGTATGCCAATTTACAAAGAGTTTTCCCTTTGAAAGCAAGCCAGAAATATTTCTATTATTATTAGTATTTTGTATTCATTTTTGCTTAACTGTATCCTTTATCTTGGCATGAATCCAGTCTTCCCGTGCAATCCAAACTCAAAGAGACACCAACTGCAACGGGCCTGGAATAGGCAGAAGCCTCTTGTTTCTGGCACCATCTCCTTCTGGGGGCTGGTCTCTCAGATTTTCCAACGCAAGTGGGTCTGCCAGCAGAAGAAACAAAAAAGAGAGAGAGAGAGTGGAGTGGAGGAAGAACTGAGTTATGCCAGATCACGATGGCTCTCAATCCAGGCTAGACACGGGAGCTTCATCTTCGTATCCTGGGGGGTTACAAATGCGAAGGTTGGCACTGCAGGTGCCACGGTGGTCCATTCTCACCCCCCGGAACCAACCCATTCACCAGGATCCTCAGAGTACGCATGTCCGACAGCAACATTGCACCCATTGAGAATGTAGCCTTGCCGGTGCTGCCCTACCTCTCTCCACCACCAACTGCTCTGGCAAGGAGGCAGGAGGAGGAGTCTCCTTGCTCAGTGGTTGAGCGGTTGGCTGAGAGGAGAGGCAGGGCAGCACCAGCTATGACGCTGACACGAGACCCACGGGGGGGGCAGGGGAGGAATGGACCGCTGTGGCACCTGTGCTGCCGAGCTTCATATTCATATTCCTGGGATACCCAAATGAAGCACCCAGGTCGGGTTCAGACCCAGTAACCATTAGGTCAGGACTAAGTGAGGCCAGGCTCTATAGCCGATCCCGCATGCAGTTACTCTTATTGTGCCCTGTGTCAGTACATTGTGTGCTTATTTTCCCACCAGACCAGTTCTTTGCCAGTTGTGATGATTTCTAACGTCAGCCAGCTGCCTAACGCTTGGGCTTCTATAATCTGGTATAACTTGTCAACAAATGAATCCCAGGTAGGTGTTGTGTAGCAGATTTTCTGCTCATTAGTTCCCTGATGTGTTTAAAATGCATGCCTTTAGCAGTGCACCTGTGCTTAGCATGATGGATGCCATTTTTAGAAGTACAAGCCTATGTTTTGGGAGAAAAGTAGAGCTGGCAAGACATTATCTAGTATCTGATTGTCACTTAGTGATTCTTTTGCTTTAAACAGTATCTCATAACCCCTTGTTTGGTGTAGTAAACCACACTAGAGTAGGGTCCTTTGATTAAATGGGAAGTTACAGAGGACTGTAACTTCAGCTGATTCGATGAGCCTACTCTAGTGTGGTTTACTATTTTATTTTATTTTTTATTTATTATTTGGTTTCTACAGTTATAAAAACTTCAGCTGATTCGATGAGCCTACTCTAGGGTGGTTTACTATTTTTTATTTGATTTCTACAGTTATAAAACATCATAAAATAATCATCATAAAACAATCACATAATTAAATCAACAAATTTAGAAGTTCAAGATGGAGAAAAAGGAAAACTAGAGAAGAAAAAAATCAAGTGTTGACTGGAGGGAAGGTCTGCCTAAAGAGCCACGTCTTTAAATGACTCTTAAAACTACACTAAGCAACAGGATTTGCTTAGTGGACCTTTGGAAGAATAAGTTGGCATAGTCTGTCTTTTTTCTCCTAGTTCATTTGCTCCTTTGAGGATGCAGCAGAAACCTCCATACTTTTTTATTATGTAAAAGTGCCTTTGACTAATATAATAGAGGTGTAGCCTATCAAACTGCATATTCAATTTCACATCAATATAGACAGGGATGTTACTTAACAGCAACAAAAGGTTGTTCTTGCATACTGTGGGAGTTATGTAATACAATTTACCTTATTGAGATTATTTTTTTGCTTGATAGATTGAGTAAAATGCATTTAGTTGGATGAAAAGTTGCACCACTTAAGAGACTGATGAATCTGTCAATTTCAGTTTCTTTCAGTGTCACCATAACCTTCAGTTCCTCTTTCTTTTGAAAAAAATGCAATCTTTTAAGAAATGACATAATGCATTTTAATGCATTGCCCCTAAAGTTTCAATTTTTCTACGCAGTTCTCTGTATTGTGTACCCACAATTTTATATGTGTACGTATACATTTAATATATGCTTTTTTGCAAGCAATTTCCTGTATAATAATAGCCAAAATCCATGAACAATGTGATAGGCATGGATCTTTAAGGAAGGTGAAAGGCTTAGTTCACTGTACTTTAACAGTACAATTCAATAATTGAACAATTAAATTGTTATAAAACCACTATGAAGCTGTAGACCTAAAAACGTACTAGAGAGTAAGAGTAAGTGCTGTAGAACACAGTGAGACTTATTTCCATGGAAAAATGAAGGGGATTGTACTTAAAAAAACCTAGCTCTTTGCTACTTGCCCTCTCTACATTTGAGATACTGTATTCAGATAGATACATTTGAATACAGCTGTCCAGACGACAAAGCTTTTCCATTGTTCTGAGAGAGGCACTGTCCCTATTCATTTGTACCTGTTTTACTAGCATGTACAGCTTTTGCATGGGCTGTTAGCAACCTTTATCCTTATAGAAGGTTGCCAGCGACTGGACTGTACAAGTGTTTTGACTTACTTAATTAGGTGACACCTCTGCAGAATAATTTATATTCATTTCACATGTATCCATTTATGATATATATAAGCAACAGTAGTAAACAAAAAGATGACTTGACCTCAATTTGAATGCAGAACCTGGCTTTCTTTAACAAGCCACCGTCCATCTCTTTAAGCCAACTGCTGGAAATACTGAGCTGGCAGTTTTCATCATACGTTGGCCGGGGACTTAATTCAGATCAACTTGGGATGCTGGCAGAAAAACTTACAGGTAGGAACTGTGAAGATATTATATCTATTTTCAATGTCAGTAGTCACCCTTCATCTCTGTGTCAACCAAATTTTGCTCAACTGCAAACCAGGAAAAAAATTGCTTCTGATTTTTACTCCTGTACCGAAGAAATATTTGTTAATTTTGCTTTCCTTCCTTGATTGGCTGAAATCTGAAAATCTCAATCATGGTAGTCTCAATCAGTTGTCAGGCTGTAGATTGTGCTGCTCTTTTTAAACGGCTTGGTATTGTAGTGTTTTTTTTAAAAAAAAACAATTGGACATTTTGGTGGTGGCTTCACTTTCCTTGCTTAAACTTTTAGGTCAAGTAACTTACACTGATTACCAAGTTTCCTGGTCTAAGTTCTGTAAGGTATGTTGTTATTATACCGTTTCAAATTATTGCTTTCCTCTTTCCTTGGGTTTTGCATAAGGGTCTGGTCTGGTGCAGGATGATTTCCACCCCACCCCTATCCCCCCACATGATCAATCTGTTCTCAAAATAAACTTAGCCTTTGCCTGCAACTTTCACAGGTTACTTCACACTAGCAAAACATGAACAAAATATGCTACTTCTAACAGAAAAAAAGTCCGTATGGTATTGTGATTAAAGTGCAGTGGTGAAATCGGGTGTGCAACTGGTCATCTCTGAAGTCCCCATAGCCATACCACTCCCAACCGCAAGGAAGAGCCCAAAAACACAGGCAGCTGGATTGCAATATGCCAGCAAATGAGTAGTAGGGCTTCTATAAAGCTGATGGCTTTTAATTGCCCTTTCAAGACCAAACCACTCTCAGATACCTTGCACTGCAATAGGGATTGTTACAATATACTGTACTGTTCCTCATAAAATTCATTTTCCTCCCAGTTATTGCAAGGGTTGTAACAAACCTTGAGAGGAAACAAAGAAGCCTAAGAAGAGTGATGGCTGATGTCCTATGACTCAATGTACCTGTTATTTTTGTTTCATCCACATGCCATGCTCCTTGTTCCAGTTGGCACAGTGACATTTCACATTATTTTCTGTGGCATTTTTTTTGGCTTCTCCTGAAAGCATGATTTTTAACCTCAGTTTGTTGAATTTACCACTACAATGTTTCCCATTTAAGTTTATTTCTGCAGTAGAAGTCTCCCAGGTAGAAGCTTTTGGTTACCTTTCAGTTGTTTCTCTCTTTCTCTTTCTCTCCTCCTCAAACTGAAACTCAGGCTTTGAAAATAGGGAGTGGATTTCAAAAACCTTTCTCAAAGAATTAAAAAAAAACTTATTGAGAAGTTCTCAGAGGCTTGCCTTTTTAAAGGACTCCCTCGTCCTCCAACCATAAGCCTTTATTTCCATCAATGACCCTGATGTGATGTGTTCGGGGCATTATGGGAAATAAAAATGGTATTATCAATTTGTAATTGCCTGCAGCTGATCCAGAGTAGCTGGATGCTGTGCCTTGCTATGGATACTGTCAGCAGGCAAACCCTGAAGGGGACAAAGTGGCAGAACAAGGGAAGGGACCATTGTCTCAGTGGCCCTTTCAACTCTAGAGCCAAGGTGTCCTGTAGTAAGAGGGGAGGATCAAATGGGGGAAAGGATAGGACGTTTGTTCATAAAAGATATTCAGTCCAGGGCTTTCGCAGTCATTAATGAAGACGTTAAAGGAAAACACTGACTGTAGAAGAAAATGGCACATTGGTTGCCCTGCCCTCTTATCAGAAAAAGGACCAGAGTTTTATATGTGACACATTATATGAAACATTAAACATTAGAATGAAGGGAAAAATTATAAGACTTTTTGATCAGGATTCTAGTCCAACACAGATTTTAAAATGTACAATACAACTGCCATATCTGCTGGGGATTGATTCCAGGCCCCGACCCCAGACACTGAAAATGGTGGATAATAGTGAACGTTATATATATTTAAAAAGCATTTTCATGTGTATTACCAGAACTGGCCAGTGGAGGGCTTCAGAAACCATGCTATGTATTCTTCACTAACAAGTGTTCATTGGACAGTTTGTGGTTCTGCCTAGTGGCTGGTTCTGGTAATACATGTGAAAATGTTTTTTTTTTTCAACATTTTTAATATTTCCAGACTGTGAATAGGTGAATTCGTGGATAGTGATCCTGTCAATAAGGTGGGTCCTACTGTACAGATTAAATTACACTGGTAGTGGCAACCAGCACCCTCTCAGGGACCGTCCTTCCCTCCTTCCCTTCTAGGATCCACTCCCTGAGGCAGTAATTTCATTGTTCAGGATGTCAGATCTTGGGATGGGACGTTTACAATTCATTGTAAGACATAACAGCAGTTAGTTCATCTCCATCTAAGTGTTTCTTTTGCAAATGACAGCAAAGATTGTACGGGGGGGGGGGGGAGCTCACCTGAAATTTTTAGT